AAAGAAAAAAGGAATTACGCATATCTGACGATCTCGTCTCATCTATCGCTACGGCTCCGAATCTCCATCGGGTAGAGTCAAGATTCGATGTGGACCCTCCCATTGCATGAGATGTGCAGGAGAAATCAGAGCCCTTAGTGTCTTGTTGATCGTCTGGGGATTCGTGCGTGCGCACCCACACAAAGAAAGGGCCCTTTTGAATTTTGATGCTTTAAAAGGGTAGAACTCTATTTGCACCATCTATTTATTATTATTAAATTTTTTACAATTAATACCTTACAAAATTTTTTTCTCAGTTGATACCTTTTATTTTTTTAAACCCATAAAAAATTTAATATTTTAACAAATATTCATATACCATCATGTAAACGTAAAAATATAATACATGACACTTAAACAGTAACATGGATAGTATGTGACATTATTAGTCCAATGTGAACTTTTTTTTGATGATATGATATAATTTTTTACATACGTAGACACCAAATATGCAGTGGGGATCACTGTTGGTGGGACTTTTCCCCCTTCTCCCCACATCCCAACCCAAGAAAAAAACTAAAATAGGGAACTTTATCCCCAATCTCGAAATCGTATCTTCCAAATCTAGGGTTCTTTGAATCTTTAACAAATGTACAATGGAATTGGATTGCAAACCCCTTGGGGTTGTAGAACCAACGGCTACATTCAATCCAATAAGTTTTTTGTCAAGCCAAAGGTGAATAAGATCAGCGAGAACACCAGGGGTTTTGAGCCTAATCAAGGCATCGTTAGCCTCACCAAGAAACACAACAAGGACATCCTCAAGCATATGGAGGAAGGAAAAGCTCAAGGTCTACCTTGAACCAAAATCCCGTCAAAACCCAATGAACTTGAACCCTTCCCGTCCAAGCTCCATTGTGGTGGTGGTTTGAATCCCATAGTAACCTCTTCATCTCTCTGTGATTTGATATTGATTTCTCCACTTCAATAGATCAACGAAAATCTCTGTGTGTGGCAAATTCAATCATTTCATTACTAAAGATGTCTTTTGGTGGTGTAGCAATGGGCGCACTGACAATGAATGGCTCGGGTTCGTCCTCAATAAAACAAGTGAAGTTGGAGAGGGCAAGCGAGCTCAAGATTGAGGTAAGAAATGACACGTCGCTTCATCTCCGCCTCCTCAACGGTTCTACTGAGATCTTTGGCTCTGAGCTAGCTCTTGAAATTTGGTTGACCTTCCCTCCTCGTCTCAAATTCGTTGTAATTTTCCAGATCAAGCATGAACATGCATTTTTGGATAGAGATGCTAGGTGGAAGAAACATTCTGATGATGATTCTAAACCTAGACAAGACGATAAGAAAAAGGGTGCTAAGAATGTTAATTGGGTTTTTGGATAGATCTAGAAATTGGGTTTTTGACATTGGGGATAAAGTTCCCTGATTTTGTTTTTTTTTTTTGTTGGGACGCGAGGATAAGCAGGAGAAGTCTCACCAACAATG